ATTAATGAGTTTTTTGGGTTCATTGAGAACATGGTTGTTGTTCAATAATAAAATTATTCCTCAAAAATACAACTTGCCTAATAATTCTGCACTCCCTGTAGGTTCTATTCTCTTTTGCTACTTTGTTCAAGTGGAGCCATGTGAATAAACAGTGACACTTCAGAGGAAACTAGAAACCCTTGTGAATCTCCACAGGGAAGACTGTGCAAACTTCCGCCCTGGAGACAGCTCAGTCCATCTGAGGGTCATTACCTAGCCGTGATCAGAATGCATAATGTACGTGCTGCCAAGATGAAAGGCCCCAAGAGAAATATGTGCCTTCTATTCTGTCGTGCATGTCCATCAGCGCAACCAAGCTCCGTTCATCACTGCATTCATCATCGTTTAAACAAGCTTCCCGGGTCGTGACTCTCTCCCAGAGCGCCACATTGTTGACACCGAGTGGAGTACATAACTACATATTGACTCTCAGAGTGACGAGGATGAGAAAGGAATTGGAGGATTGGACGTTTGACTTTGCTTCTTATCAGTCAGTTATCTAAATAGAGGACTCCATTGTGAAGTCCCCTCTGGGTCGTGTGGTGTAAACTTGAGTTTCTCCACAGCTGCTAGGACATCAAACCCCACACTACCACCTGTGAGGGGCTTCTGGAAATGAACAACCATATCGAGAGACCAAGAGGGCTCCTAAAGAGAGAGGGAGATAGGCCCATCTGTCACATAGCCTGAGGGTAAACACACATGGACGCAGAGATGTCTTTGGGGAGGGTCACACACACATTACCTTCTGTACAAGCTTTACAAGTGGTTGCCAATATATTCATTTGTTGATTTTTGATGATTTTTGATGGCTTTGTAACACGCTTTTATGATCACTATCATTGCTACAACTACTAACACTAGCAAGCCTGATTACCAAGTTGCATCCTTACTAATTAGTACTAAGCAGCTGATTAATTAACTGGTGAGTTATTACTCACCAAAACTGAGTCAAAAATTGCGTTATCAGATAGTTCCAATAAAGATTCTCCATAAGGCCACCAACACCACTAACAGAGCCAAGTTTAGCGACTTAAATTAGCAGAGGTGAAATGGATCAGCTACAGCTAGCTGCCCAAATGTTAATGCCTCAGAATTGTCCAAAAAGAGGAGGAAAACATCCCTTATACAGTAGCCTTGAGCCTGAAATACTATCTAGAGGAAACAAATGCATTATTTCCTGCTGGTCAAAAACTATACTAAGCAGCTGCTTTTGGAAATGAAAAAATGTGCTGAACTACTGAGCGGCAGTGATTGTAGCATGGTCAAATGGTCAGTTTGTTAATGATCAGAGGGCCACAGCAAAAAACAAGCCATAATTAAGCAAAAGTTTCTTGATACATATCATACCAATAATATGCTACTGACATTAATGCTATAGTCACTCAAGCGAAGTGACTATAGCACATAAATAGAGTTTGGAGAGGAACCAGGTCTGCCACCAGCCGCCATCAGTTGGTAATAAGGTGGAGTCTGTCTGTTATAAGTTTGCGATTGAATGGGGTTAAGTTGGCAGTTACAGTTGCATCTATGATAATAAAGTGATTGACTGTGATAAATTAGCAAAGGTTCCAAACTTTTTGTCATCTTTAGATCCAGAAATTTACTGTAACAGCTTCTGTGCAGAGTCCAGCCAGAAACTCATGGATCTGAAACAGAATTTAAGAAATTCCTCCAAAAACAGTTACATAGTTACTGCAGGATGGGAAAATGATACACCAGAATGCAACCAGCTGGCAACCAGTTGAGTCAAATCCTCTGTTGATTGACATAGAATGACTGCAGTGTATTGCCATCTGTCTGCATTTACAAATTAAACAATTATTTACAATCCTTGGCCAATCTGTCTGAGACTGACGCCAAGCTGCAGTCAGTCAGTGCGGGGCTACAACTGGTTTGAGACAGGTTGCCTTTCCATCTATTGATTCTTTATTACCTTTCTTGACTTCTTCTTGACATGACTTCTTTAAAATTTTTCAAGCTCCAAACATAAAAAAGGATTAACAGCAATTGATAAGCTTAGAGGCCTATAGCTAAGGTACATTAGCTAACATTAAAATGATAGTTAGCTGATGTGTTTAGCCAATGAATGTAACTGGCATTTCTTATTTTGTCTGACATTTAATTTATTTTGGATTTAGTCACATATATTTTACTTGAGAGCAAACCATTCATCAAAGACAATTTTCAAAGACAGAGGTAAATCACAAATTTCAACAAAAGCAAACTCTCCTTTTGATTAGTGCCTCCATTTTTTTTAGATGTTCTCCTACCTTCTTTTCCAACAGTGCAATGTTTTTGCATTCTGCAGTTCAGAGTCAAAACCTGCAAATCAAAAGCTTTTGATTGCATTACCGGTAAAAAATAATTACAGCTTTCCTGATGAATGTTTTTTCAGGAAACTTTTTTTTTTGCATCTTGCTTTCCATATGTAATTTACAGGAGATAGTACAGGGTCAAGCATTAATGGTTCAGCAGCTCAATCATCCATTATTAATCAGAAACAAAACAAAGTTCCTCCAGAACAGTTTTATATCCTGACTACTACAAACCATGATGGAAAAAAGGAGTCTGATGTGTAATATATTGTGAAGGCTCCTTTCATTATCAATGTATTTTTTAGCCTAAGAAGAGTACCTGTAGCCTTTGTTTGATACAAGATTTGTCAGCCAACCACCTCAGACACATCATAAACAACTTCTCATTTTGGCTCTAAAAGGCTGTGTGAATAGTATGACAGACAGCACAAGCATATGTGTGTTACACTCAGACTGTCTTGCTATCCTCTTACAATGTAGCTTGCCATCACCAGCGTGTGAATGTGTGTGTGAATGGGTGGATTACTGGATGTGTAAAGCGCTTTGGGATCCTTAGGGACTAAGTAAAGCGCTATACAAATATAGGCCATTTACCATTTACAATGTTTAGAGACAGTGACGTGAAATCCTCCAACTGATCTTTAAAAAGCTTGATTTTTTTAATTAATTATTTTTTTGTTTTGGTTGAAATTTCATACTTGGAAGACTAGAAGCTAAACTCAAAACAGACAACAGGCTGTAAGAAAACATATCAGAAAGCCTAAATCGAATTCCTTCATCCCACAATGACAGAGCGCTGATACTGCAGCTGCAAACAAAGTAACAGAAGATAGTAAATAATTAGAGCAAAGCAGGACAGCGAGGACAGGTGATGGAGAGTCAGGGCAGATGGATGATAAGATAGAGAGAGAGTGACAGGCAGATAGATGCTTCAAATGATATTTAGGTAAACTGTGGCCTCACCTTGCTTCTCCCTGATTGATCACCATGTACATCTCCCAGGACATATTTTCAGCCACGGATCCATGAGGCACCAGGAGGCTGACCCCTGAAACACACAAACACACACACACACATTTGTGTCAGCAGCAACTCCTCCAGCAGCCTGACAGCATAGGGCAAAATAAGAGCATGTCATACATGCTGGGGTTATGTAGATATTTATGAGAGCTTCAGTTCACCTCAAAGAAAAGAGTGACCTAGACTTGGGCTTCTAAGTGTTATAATATTCATGCTGATTTTCAATGGGAGTACAATAAAAAAGGGCTTATTTTGGCATATTTAAACAGTGTTCACATATCATGAGCAAATGAAGACATAAATACTACTTATCTATAGGGTTAGCTATAAGACAGCCTAGAGTATTTCGGGAGGACTCGGTGAAGCACTGGCATTTGCGGATTTCTGATTCTTGACTGGTTGTTAGCAAAGATAGAAATAGATAGAAGATGTTACTGTACTTCAAACTTTTCATCCTGTATCCATCCACCCAATCCTAACTGGTCAAAGCAAATACTTGCCCATCAATCTAACGGAGTTTTTCCTCCACCATCACCAAGTGCTTGCTCATAGGGCTTTTCTTTACATTATTACGATCTCTACTTTACAATATAAATAGCTTTGAGGAAGCTATTGTTTCAATTTAGCGCTATATATATGAGCTTGAATTGAAAAACACTGATTGGATTGAATTATTTAAATTTCATCCCAGCCTGGTAAAATATTTCTATATTTAGACAAAGAATCTGCTTGGTGGAGGTCAAGATGCTTTTTACTGTCATGGTTCAATGGGAAAAAGTTTCAGTGAGCAGACCACAGTGACAAAAATGAATTTTATTAACCTTATGTCTTTTTTTTATTTTTTATTTTTATTTTTTGCTTTAGTGCAAATATTTCCAAGCGGCTGCAGTTTAAGGTTTGCAGTCAACTATATGTGTTGTCTGGTACCAAGCCACATGGTCTATTTGACACTGCTATGTATTGGAGAGTTCAGATATAAGACGTCACAGAGTTCATTACAAAGTTCTGGTCACCATGGAATTTTAAACTGAAATTTGGAGGTGAAACCATTCTCTCTGCCAATAATTGACTTTCCTTGTGTGGGTGCAGTCATTTCCGTTCCAAGTCCCACTGAAGCTACATCTGTAAATTTGCCCTGTTGGTAACCAGTAAGCATTTTTGACTTTGCTAGGCTTTGGGAGGATGTAGAGTCAGAAAATTTAATATAAATGTAGCTTATCGTCACTAATTAGCTATATTGAAGCATTTACTTTTTATATAGCCGTCCTCCTGAGTATAAAGTGCTACACAACAGAGCAACAATTTCCATACTGATGAGGGAGAATCAATGACACAAATATGAACTTTAAATAAACTATGAAGTTATTTCTTGTAAGCGAATGAGAAAAATAACAAATTAATGAGTTAGCAAACAAAGCTTGTAGAAAAAAAGAGTAGTAAGCAGGCAGAGCTGTGGGAGTTACTGTGACTAAGTTGCACTGGAGTTATTGATAGAATATTTGCATGCAGGTCTTTAACAGTCCCTACAAAATTATAAAACACATATTTTTTGCAAAAATCAGTTGGATTTTCTTATTTATTGATTTTTTTTTTTCAAAGAAGAAACAACAACTAATTAGTGTATTCAAGTAATCAAAATTTAGCCTGCAGTTATGTGTGACTGAGGCAAACAGGCCCTGAGTACTATTTTAGTATTTCACTTCTGAATTTCAACCAATTAGCACAAACATTTTATATATTTATTGGATATTTGTTGGTACAGATAATGTTAGTGAGGGAAACTCAAAAACAATGGAAAACATTTTATTGTTTACATGTAAGGTTTTGGCATTTTATGCTTACATGAGGCTACAATGAAGACTTACATAAGGCTGAGAAGCCGACAATGACTCTGATCATGTGCAAGATAAGTGAAGGTTTTAACTTAGAGTGTGTTGACACAGCATTCATGTTCATGCACACAGTTTCCAGCACAATAGGGCTCATTTTAAACATGGCTACACCAGTCAGATGCTAAGGGATTTAGCAACTGATGTTTTCGTCATAGGCTCTTTAAACTACACTTTTTCCCCCTTCAGCCACAAAACTGGTTAAAAAAATACCTTTGACCCAAGTCTGTTAAAAAAATTAACCAAGCATGTAATTCAGCCTCTTATGACCAAACAAAGTAAGAATCTACTTTTGGCTGCTCTCTCATTTCAGTGTGTGGCTCTGCTTTTTTGATGTAAAAGTCCAGACCATTCTTTGCAACTGCATTTTCTTTTCTTTTTTCTTTTTTGATGCCCTATAGTGATGATGGAAAAGTTACTTTAACAACATCAAAAAAACCCAATATAAACAATTAAAGAAAAAAATCACTTCACATTACATTGTGAAAACCCATCAGCTTGGATTTTCCTGCTTTTCTGACCTTAGGATAATTTGCTGGAACGTCCACGATGTGTTAACATGCACCAGACCAAACTCCGAAACTACTGCCTATATAAAGGTGCTCAGCCTCGCTGATGATAAAGCTAATCAAGTGTATATGATCAGCAGCACCTGGCTGCAACATAATTTCATGACTATCAATCAATTTTTATTCAGTCAATCTTTATGTCCATAGAAACAAAACAAATCACATACAGTAACACAAAAACAAGAGAAAAACAAATAAAAATACACCTTTCTGCACCTATACCAGTGTCTCCACAATGAGGAGTGATAACGTGCGGTGCTAAACCTTGTATCTGCTTCATGTGCATGCAAATATATCTATCAATGAGATGTGTTAATAAAACTTTAAATGTAGTGGCTCCAGCAGTTACAAACATCTCACTTGCACTGAGCCATCTCGGTGTATTCAGTAATAACCTCAAAGCCTCAATAAAAGCTACATGAAGTTTCCATAAACTTGTTTTCCTATAATTTGTCCAAAGGTCTTTCATATACAGAGGTGTACATTATGTTCTAAATGAAGAAATGGTCTATCTATCGACACATGCATTAAATTTACCTAAGATGTATGCACACTTCATCCAACATTTCCATTATCATCTGACATTTGATGTGAGACGCCCAAGATATCTGAACTTGTTACAGACAGTAAAATGATTATCTGACAATTTCAACTCTGGAAATCTTTGATAGTTGTCCTTACTTGCTTCTGCAAATCGTCAGTGCTCTTTTACAGACATTGTATCTGATATCATGTTAAACGTCATACAGTAAGGAGAACGTATGTGAAAGAGCCGCTGGAGACCAGCACTGCTAAGACTAAAGACAACAAGATCATCTATATACATAAAATGGATCAATAAAATACCATGCATCCCATATAGGCTCTTAATTTCTTTGACAAATCATCAACATAAACATTGACAAGAATTGGGGACAAAATTCCTCCTTGTCTAACACCATCACTAACTCCAACCAGGGCAGAAATACAACAGCTTGCAATGTCTGCTTGTCTTTAACAGTTAAACCAGAAATTTCATGATGTATTTGGCACCCCTGCTTGACTGAACTTAGCAAGTAACTTTATAAATTACACACCTAAATGCTTTGGAGGCATTGATAAAAAGTGATGAATTCTGTCTTCTACATTGGTTTAAAGTTTATTTCAAAGAATATATACAAAAATCAGCACCATGCTTGAGTTTGAAGTCAAAGTGATTATCAGTGAAGTTAATGAACATATGTAATCTATGGAGCCAGTTTCTTTCTAAAACTTTTGACGTTGTCTTCGCTAATAGTGTTGGTCTGTAGTTATCAAGACTGCTGACTTTCCTAGCCTAATCCTTAATGATCGCCACTAACAGAACAGATAACACTGGGTCTGGCAACAAGCCATGGATCATGCAACCAGTAAAACAGATGGAAAGAAATGGATGCCAGCTTATTACTGGCATGTTTAAGATGTTCAGCAAAAATATGGTCTAACCACATGCTTTTTTTTATCTGGTAGCTCAAGCATTGCTTGATATAACTCATGTGCCATAATGACCATGCACAGAATAACATTTGCAAAATATATTGCTATTTATTTTTGTCGGTGAATCGTGAAAATATCCACATATGCACTGAATATTAAGGGAAGAACAGAAATGTTAAAAAGCGCCTAAAGAGGTAAACATCCTTTGTTAGGAAAGATCTAGGAATTGTGGGGAAAATATGAAGATGAGTGGCCAGTGGGTCACAATGAGTAAAACCTGTTTCTCGGTAAACAAAACTGACGTTTTTCAGTAAAATGTGTAGGAGGTTGTTATTCCTACATAATCTGTTATTTTTTCCCCTTAGGTTTTAGTAGTCTAAGAGCTTAGCTGATCAGCCTGAATATACACAAATGGCTACAGAGAATAAGCAACTGAATCAATATGTGATTTAAGTTAAGCTGTAAACATTTCTTTCTTTTCACTCTGATCTCCCAGTCAGCTACACAACAGCTTTGAAGAAGCAAGTGGATTTTTTTCACAGCATGTCAAAAGATCAACACTGTCCGTCCTCTGTTGCTTCACACTATTCATCTGCCGCAGAGTGAATGGCAGAGCATTCACTCTGAAGTGTAGAGAGCATATAAAGGCCCTGCTTTACAAATAAAAGGTTCAGAGGAGCAGCGAGGGAGATGACAGATAAAGGGTTTTGGCAGCTTTATGGAAAGTGTGTATTTGTAATAACTTGGTCATGTCTGGAATGGGCATTCTTTAGAGTTTGTCTGTTTTTAATAAAGCTGTGTTTTACATGTTGGGGAGCTTGCGCTGGTGGCGACAAAGAAATTGGTAGGAAGAGTCAATTGCAACTGTCCTTCTTGAGTAGTTAAACCCCTTGCTGTAAGGGATCTGATCACTCAGTTAAACAAAAATAAAAAAACCTCACTTGCCAACAATGGCAATTAAAAGTGAAAGCTCTGCACTGTGGAAACACTGAAAAGCAGTTTGGTTTTTTTTTACTATACTGTGAAATTCATTTTGTGTATGGTTGAGACAAACTGGCTCCTTCATAGGTAGTCTGAGTTTCTCAACGTCTTGCTCATGACAAATGGATGACGGC